AAATTAATGAATTAATTAATTAAAATTTTAAAATAAAACGTTGAAAAATATATTTATAAGGTACCTGCTATCTGCTATTGCCTGTGCTAGATATCAAGCATGGATTACAGAGAACAAGACTGAAGTATAGAGAACAAGGCCCCAGCCTTCATTGAGTTTTCGAGTCAAATATTCACCAGATAATTATAGTTGTGGTGAATGTCATAAAAGGGAGGTGAAGGACGTTATGGCAGAGTTTAGTAGACTGAAATAATTAAGTCACTATAATCAAGAGGACCAAGAGGCATCCTGTGAGGAAGTGATATTGATTTGCATCCCAGGATGAGGAATTTTACTTAGTAAGGCTCAGAGCAAGAGAGATTGCTATGCCTTTGAGGAACTAAAAGAAGTCCAGTTCAGCTGAATATTCTTGAGCTAATTGAAGAGAGAGTCTCAAGACAAGATGGAGTTAGGCAGGGGTCATGTTATACAGGGTCTTGTGCTTCACCGTAATAGCAATAAGAAGGCACTGGAGGGTGTTTTGTGTTATTTTTTTGGTTATCAGTGTTGCAGGCTTTTTTTTTTCAAACTACTCTGAAGTATGCTTGAGAAAATTTACCATTTTAACCATTCTTAAGATTAGAGTTCAGTGATACTGAGTACATTCACATTGTTCTGCAACCGTCACCACCATCCGCCTCCAGAACTTTAATGAGCACTGAAACGCTTCCCATTACATTCCCAGTATTATAAACAATTTCCCATTCCCATTCCCCTTTCCCCCCAACTCTAGACCCTGCATTGTGGGATTTTAAAGCATGGAATACATGCATGATTAAATTTACAAGTTTCATTTGTTATTTTTTAAGACAACATTTACACATGACTCAAAATTCTAATCCTATAGAAGCTCATATAATTTCAAAAAAAATCACTTTCACCTCAGTTTCCCTTCTTTAGGCAACTATATGTAGTTTTTAATCTTTGCACAGAAATTGTGTATATTTGCAAGCACATTCTTGTTTTTAACTAGTTATTATAAATATCCACGTTATTTTGTACTTTCCTTGTTTGTCCTTTTTTGTACACATAAATACCTTCCGCCTTTTTCTTAATGGCTTTATGGTATTATTGAGAATATCCATAGTTTCTGGATTGGCAAAAAGTTGAGGGGGTCTGCATACTTTTATGTTCTCTAGAAAATGGGAATGACAGTTATGTGTTCAGAGAAATGGATAAGTTGAGGGTTAAACGTTTGGTGAATGTTGACATGGTATGAAATTTTGCTGAACAGGGGAATGAGAGAATGAAATTAGTGTGGTAGAATCAGTACAGCCCTGGATAACTATCTGAGAGCAGCAATTCTAGATTTGTAGTGGAACCAGTCTTCTCTAAGGTTTGATTGCTCCAGCAGCATGAGCGGAAGCTTGGAAAAGGCTTATAGTTGGACCCATCAAAGATTTTTTTCCCACCAGCGAGCAATGCATGGACTATGGGACAAAGGAAATTATACCGTA